ACCCACTCTAACATACCCCTTCACGTCTAGGCCTGACTGGAATGTGGACCGGGAAACCAAATGGGGAAGAACCTGCATATGATACCATGTAAATATATGGCACTTGGGCATAACTCAACCCCAAAAGTTAGCTCGTGAGTGGAGAATTGTTCAAGTCCACATAAGCAAACCACCAGTCCATTCTCCAACCAATGTGGGACTGTATGCCATTTTTTCTATTTGGAACGGAAAAAGCTAATTTCAACTCCAGCAAGCAGACGTGGAACAAACAACTGAAACACTTTCTCTTCTTACCACTATATTCCATGGTTCATACATGTTCTGGCATTTAGCTTCAACTGCAGACTTTTCCTCGAAACTTTGCTTCAAGCTCTCATCATGTTGGCTCTATATTTAGAAAAATCATGTCAAGTATTTGCGTCTTCCTTTTACAAGAGGAGCAATTGAAATTTACTCAAGCATGTTAATATACCAGCATAAAGTAAAAATCTTAATCCACATATCATATAATTGACCTGACAAGTTTGGTCCTTGGGGATTGAATCATCATTGTTGTTGTTGTTGTCATTAACACTTTTTTTGCATACCAAACTACCCCATATTCCCCAATTAAATGTCATATTTTTCCTGTAGGTTGTCACAAATTGTGTGGAAAATGAAAAAAAGAAATTCTACACTAACAAATATCTTTTGTCATCTATGATCAAAACCAATAAGCTTAGAAACTTGAAAGACTTCTCTTTACAGCATCTACATGATTTAGGATTGATGATCTTGTATAGTTTCTGAATTTATAGCTCTAAAAATAATCATTGTAAATGGATTGCATTAAGGGAAAAGCTTATTTTTTGTAGGCAATGAATATAGAACAGTTTTGACTTCCAATACAATTGAGTAGAAGTAAATGAGGTAGAAACCAAAAAAAATGGGAAAGAATAACTTACGAAAATTCTTGAAAAGCAGATATAAATGTCCTGATTTCTCTCCTTTTTCTTCAGGTCCTTTGCATTATTTGTTTCTTCTCATCTGCTCGGTTCTCTTATCCACATAACTTAACCTGATGTTTCAAGAGAGAAACCAAAAAAACAATAGAAATTCATCCTTAAGAAACTTCTTATTTTTTCAAGAATCAACTCTGCTTTGTCTTGTGCCATCTGTTCAACCACCATTCTGTATCATTTTCTCCCGATTTTGAAAAGCCAGGATTGATATAACAAAGGGTGGTTTCTTTTGGAGTGAAACCTTTATCTTTCATCTCTTCAAGTAGCTTTCTTACCTCACTCCGGCATGACAGTCTCAATGACCTTTCAAGCTCCGGCCTTTTTGATAGCTTGCACCATCCAACTAATAGTATGTCATATGTTGAAGAATTTGGTATTACCCCTCTGACTTGCATCTCGTGCATTAGTTCCTGGGCCTGTCTCATTTTTCCCGCCTTTGCAAAGTCAAAGATGAGTACATTATAGGTACTAGTGCGAGGAACAAAACCTTTTGTAATCATCTCACAGTAAAGTTTGATGGATTCCTTTTTATTTCCAATTTTCCCATGGCCAGAGACTAAAATGTCATATGTATTAGCATTAGGGACAAAACCCCTTCCCTTCATTTCATTGAACAAATCAGCTGCTTCATTCATCAGTCCAACGGCTGACAGAGATGCTAACATAGTGTTGTATGTTGCAACATTAGGAGGAACTCCTTTAGCCAGCATCTCAGAATATGTTGCAAAAACCTTTTGGAATTGGTAACTTTTGCAATATCCACGTATGAAGGCATTATAAGTGGTAGTATCAGCTGAAAATCCTCTTTCTCTCATGTTTTCTAGTACTGACATTGCCTTTCTGGTCATCCCAAGCTTGCATAAAACAGCAATAACAGTGTTGTGAACAGTCTGATCAAGCTTAAGTCCCATGCCTACAAGCCGCTCATGCATTCTCAGGATTATATCTGCTCTTGTATGGCCTGAAGCAGCATCGAGAACAATTTTGTGAATAGCTGGTGAAGGACGAAAACCAATTGTCACTACATCCGTTAACAAATCCATTGCTTTTTCAATATCACCTACTTCACAAAGTCCCTTCACCAATATATTACAAGTGATTGAATTAGGCATTATCCCACTGCTCTTCATTTCAACCCAGACTTTGACAGCACTTTCCAGCTTCCCCTCTTTGCAGTAAGCATCAATTAAAGAATTGAAAGTTTGAATATCTGGAACTAGACCAAGTTTTCTAATTTCAGCATAAACAGACTGTACCTCATACTGACCAATTCCCAATAATCCGTTAAGCAGTACATTGCATGCTATTGTGTCAAAGCATATTTTTTTCTCTTTCATCTCTTCGACCAATTGAAGAGCATCTGACTCCTTCCCTTTTTTGAAGAGTCCATCCATCAATGATGTGTAATTCACATGATCGGGTGACAAACCCTTAGATACCATATCCATAAAAATGGCCTCAGCTTCATCCATTTTACCCAGTTTTTTCAAATTATTCAAAAATGTATCTAACAAGAATTCATTTTCCTCAACACCATTCGACTGCATTTCCTCATACAGAGCAAGAGCCATATCATGTTTACCAGCCTTAAAGCAGCCATCAATCAGGGTATTATATGTGAAAACATTAGGGTTAACATTTATGCTTACCATTTTCCTCATAATTTCAATAGCTGCCTCAACCATTCCACTTTTGGCATAACCATTAATTACAGAAGAGAATGTGACAACATTTGGTAAAACACCTTTCTGTTCCATTTGTTGCAGTAAAATCTCTACACTCTTTAAGTCACCAGATTTGCAGTGCCCATCAACCAATGCAGTATAGGTAATATGATTTGGAGTTATGTTAGACTTCAAGAGTGTCTGAAACACGTCTTTTGCCTCCCTGGATTTTCCAACTTTAAAAAGCCCATTTATCAAAGAGGTAAACAAGACAACATCGAAAGGCACTCCTCTAATCACTATTTGACTTTGGAAGTTAGCAGCAACCTTTTCGGCCATATTTTTGTACAAGTGATGAATAAAAATAGAGTATGTCACGTGATTAGGATCCACACCCACTCTTCTCATCTCATCAAGAAGTAATTTGGCCTCATGAAACCGTTCATTTTTACAAAGACCATGTATAAGGGAATTATAAGTAACAATGTCATAGAAGAAGCCAAGCCTTGTCATTTCTTCATATGTAGCAAATGCTTTCTCAAACTGAAACCACTTAACATATTTACTAATCAATGTGGTGTATGTAATAGTATTTGGTTCTAAACCCAAGTCTCCTACTACCAGGCCCTTATTTTCACCATCATCATAGTCATGTTTTTCTTCATCACCGACATAACTAACATTCACATTTTCATTAGAGTCCAAGAGCTCATCCATGATACAATTTGCAGCATCAAAATCTCCCATTATGCCGAAACCATTAATCAGAGTATTATATGTAACAATGTCAGGTGATAAACCTTCTCTTTTCATCCTCTCCATCATCTCAAATCCACCACTCATCTCAACAGCCTTACAATATCCATGAATCAGAGTGTTAAAACCGACAACGTCTTTACAAACGCCCCTATGTTTATCACTCAACATTTCCATCACCGATTCTGCATTATACAAAAGACCCTTATCACAATACCCCTTAATTAATATATTACAAGTGATGGTGTCAAAGAAAATACCCTTCTTTAACATATCAGACACCAATCCAAAACCCATTTCAACAAACCCAATTCTGCAGAACCCCCATATCAAAGTGTTATAAGTAACTGTGTCACTTTCGTTCTCTCTAAGTAATTCAAGCGCTTTTTCCAGTTTCCCAACTTTGCAAAGCGAATGCACGACTATATTGCGAGTAACCACATTAGAAGCCACTCCACAAGCAAGCATATCAGAATAAAGGATAATTACCTGATCAACCAGACCTGCTGAATTGAAATGATGCAAGAGACGATTCCATGAAGGAAGGTCAGGGACAAGATTGTAATTTCTCATTGAAGAGAACGTTTCCATGGCTCTGGAAAGGCGATGGCAGCGAAGGAATAGATGGACAAGTGTGCAGAAAAACGAGGTGTAGAGGCTTTTCTTTGGATGAGTTTGGATTGGTGTACCGGTGGGCGTTGCCGATGAAGAGAATGGGAGGCATATTCTGAGCTGCAATGAGATAGCAACGGAGAGCAGAGGGAGGCTCTTTGTCCTGCCTATCAACTGTTTGATGAAATGCCGATGTGAGTTCATTGTCTCGCAGTTGCCACCATTCCCGCGGGCGTATATGTGGAGCTGTTATTTTCCGGCACAAAGTTGTAGTAATAGCTCAATTTTGACACATATTTGACTATATTTTAAGAGGATGTTTGGATTAGCTTAATAGTTGATTAAATCTATTTTTAGGTCAGTTTTTGACTTTTGAAATTTTTGATAAATATAAAAAATAACTTAAAATAAAGTAGAATTTGTTAAGCAAGGTAAAAAATGACTTAAAATAAGTCAAAAATAAAAAGTGAGGAAAATCAAAAGTAGGTCTTCCCTACTTTTTATTTTTTAACTTAAAAGTCATTTCAAACTTATTATTTTTGACTTATAATTTATTTTTATTTTTAAGTCAATCCAAACAAGCTCTTAGTGAGCAAGGTTAAAACTAGCTTGTTGTACTTTTATAGGAGATGGTTCTACTTGACCATCCATCAAATATGTTTTTATTATCTTATCAAGGTGCATTATTTCAACTTTCAAAATGTGAATCGACAACAAAAATATTCCTAGTTTAAAATAAATTGAGATCGACTATATAAATTTTTACTATTTCCTTTAATTTAACTCATGACATCATCACACCAAACATAATCATATAAAAGTAAATCGAAGCAATATACCGTTGATATTACTAGTAAATGAGTTATATTGAAGAACAACATACATTTGTGTTTGTTATTTTTGACATTACAAATAACAAACACATGTAAATAACTTATCTGAACTTCTTTTCTAATATTCTTTTATTACACAAAGGGGAAGTGAATGGGAAATTAGCGAGAGTATTACAAGACAGACAATCAAACCTTCACCAACAAAATGAAAGTCCAGCTAGTCAACTAACCGACATTGATCTAATTTCTAAGATTTAATTAGAGTTTTCTTTTGGGATTTTTTTGTAGCATTTTTTATCCCGCACTCTAGTTTTAACAAATTTTTAGCAATGTTGCCATTAGCACCACGAGGAAAGAACCCGCCATGAGCATTTTCACTACCAGTGTTATACATAATCCTTAGAATCTCTTCAGGAGTTCGCCACTGAGAAAGAGAATAGAAATCAGCTGATAATATGTTTGTTGTTGTCCGATTCTCTGCACCAAGCTGCCATGGCACGAACAAGCCTTCGTCTTTAATACCACACATTGCCAAACGGTTTCTTAAATTTGAAATGTGGATTGTGAACTCCGCCACAGTGTGTCTGTAAGGATATACTACTTTTCCAGCTCTCTCGTAAAGGTACATTCTGATCATCGCGTCTTGTCCTGATTCAACACCTAATAGTCCTGCCAAAAGCTGCAGTAACAAAGACAAGTTGAATTATTACTTAATCTCGAATACTTAATGAAAATTTAAGATTAATTCTTTACCCTTTTTGATTCATAGCCTTGGATGAGGGGATTTGTACCAACATAGCCAACTAATGCAGCATATGGTAGTGCATAGCAAGACAACATGAAATTGAGACTATCTCTATAAGGATCAAATGGGGGTTGTAATTTGTAACCAAATGCTTCATCAAATAGATGTGCAAAGTGTCTAGAACTTAGATCCATCAAAGGTCTTGGCAAACCACCTACTTTCGATCTAAGTGCCCTGCAATTATCCCAAAACAGAACAAATTAGTTATCGTTTGAGTGACCTGATACGTAAGTCTTTTTTAATATTGTCAGTGTATATAAGTTAAACTGGGATAAGAACGGACCTTAGATGACCAACTTCTTGCATGGCAAACTCATTGATGATGTTACTTGTAAAAAAATCAAGATTTGCTTTGCGGACACCAATGGGAGGAGGCCCTCCCATGGCTAATTCTGGTGCTACAATATCAAGACCATAACCATGTACAGCCCACAAGAAGTATTCAGCTTCCAAAAACTCTAAATTCTCAGAGAATTGCAACAAGTCAATATCTTCTTTGGTTACTGGGAGTCCGACCTTCGGAGTCCCAGTTGGACAAAGAAGATTTTGAGAAAGGGAAATGCAGAACATCTTGCTTGACAACAAAATCATAAATATTGTTATTAAAAGATGGGAAGGTGAAGTAATTGATATTATAGGCATCTTTAGTGTTTCTTTTTTTTGTTGTTGGTTAATTAAGTTGTAATGAAGATTAAAAGAGAGTTTATAGGGATATATACTATGTATTATGACATACTTTATACCTAATTTTAAGCAATGTGATTTGGATTTCTATCAATAAACACCTTATTAGTGACTAACCAAAACAATGTGAAGTTTATATGCCTTAGCTAAACTCTACCTGCCTTCAACCTACAACAAAATAGAAGAAAGATAAATTAAGCCTGGAAACTCAACAACTTAATGAGTGTGTTCAAGTTAAATACATCACTTATTTAGGAATAGAGTGAGTATCTTCTTGATCATTACACTTGTTTTAATTAAAAATTCTACTTTATTTGTACACAAACTTTTTATGATTAACATGATTAAAAGAAAATCAAATAGTTGATGAACTTAAAAAATCTCCCAAGTTAAATGAATCTTTTGCTTGACAACCCTATAAAATCCCCACAACATCAACCTTCACATTTCATCTTAAGAGAGTTAATACTACAATTTGTTTACTACTATTAACCATGGCCGAGAAAAATTGCCTTGTTACATTTGTCATTTGCATTTTCCTACTTGTCAACTTAGCTTTTGCAAGTGAAATTTCTGATTCATCCTCAAATGATGAAACTAGTACTACTCCACAAGCTAAGGGACTAGATAGTTACTTTCCATGGATTCAATATACACGTCCCTGGCTATTTCCTCGTCCATGGCCGTTCGTTTATGGTGGTTACCATCCTCATCAATGGCCATTTGTTCTTCCTCAAATGCCTACTGGTTTCTTTCATCCTAGGTTTCCTTATTTGTGGGCTTATCGTTTTCCATGGTCATTCGTGTATCCACCAGCTCCGTCTCCACCTAAAGGAGACGAAGAAGCAGGGAAGAATTAAGAATATTTACTAATAAAAACAAGTGAATTGGATCACATATTTGTTTCTAAGTTAATTTATGTCTTTTAAGATCTTATTGATCACATTATTAATTAGTTTTTTCTGATTTTCAATGTTGTTTGATTCAGCTTGTTATGAAATAAAATCTGAATTTTCATTTTTGTATGAATTGTTCTCCATAACCTGTTTTATGAAGACTTAATTAATGTTTACCAGCACAACGTAAACTTTGTATGCCCCAACTAGACTCCACCTATAATCATAAAAAGAAGATTTACAAAAAAGAAGAGTAAAAAATACTACTAATAATTAAAAAAAATAGAAGAAAGAAAATAGGCCGTAGATCCATAGGATTTAGGCCCCGAGCCTAGGAGCTTTTATCTCGCCTTGTGCTACCTTCTTTTATTTAGTACTTGTCATGATAACATTTTGCAACACTTCAACGGTAAAGTTGGAAGACAAGTAATATAGAAATAACTATATTTAGAATACATGACAACTAAAAAGAAGGAGAAGGAGTATATGTTATTTCACATATCACGAAGGGTAAAGGTTTAAAAAAGAAATAGTTTTTTTTTTTTTTAAAACAAGATGCATGTGTAGAAAACACTATTTCTTAGTTTTTTCATTTTTGAAATTCAAAAATTGCGACGAGGAGGAGCTGTGAAGGGTAAACAATTAGTATTTGGTTTCTGTTAAAATTTAAAATATAAATTAAAGAGATTACTTTCAAGCAAACTCTATTGATCCAATAATCACTACTATTATATATCTTATTGATTATTACACTTATTATAAGAATTCTATTTGTACACAAACTTCACTTATGATTAAGCTAATAAATAAAAGAAAATCAAATACTAGTTGATAAACTTAAAAACTCTCGTAAACCAAATGAATCTCTTGCTTGACAAGATGGAATAATTCCCCACTACACCAACCTCTTCACATTTTATATCAAAAAAAGTTGATAAACTTACTTTTAGATGATGGCCAAGAAAAAATACATTGCTACTTTTGTGATTTACATAGTCTTACTAATTATCAACTTATCTTTTGCAAGTGCTACTAGTAGACAACCTAAAGGACTAAATAGTCTCTACCCAATATGGATTCATCCTCATCCATGGCTACCTCCTCGTCCATGGCCATTTGTTCATCCTCCTCCTGCTAATTTCCATCCTCATCCATGGCCATTCCTTCATCGATTCACCCTTGCCTGCCCGCGGCTGGATTTCATCCTAAGTTTCGTTATTCATGCATCCGCCAACACAACAAGGAGGAATTCACTAATAAAAACAAGTGTGGGATCAATATCTTATTGATCACATATATTTGTTTCTATCGTAGTTGTTAGTTTCTATCAATTTCCAATTAATAACTAGTTTCGTTTTGGTAGGAATGTTGTTTGATTCGACTAATTATGAAATAAAATTTGAATTTTTATTTCTATATGAATTGTTATCCACTTCTTTTCTTTTTAAGTTAAAGCTAAATCTACATAACATTAAAATTCAATATTTAAAATCATAATTATTCTTATGTCAATATAATTAAAAAGATATTTTACAATGCGATCAAAGTTCGACTATTTTCTTTTATAATCTAGAAAATGCAAATTTTGGCTATTTCATCAGTGAGCCTAGCAAAGCGAAAAGTTTTTAATAGTGAAACATTTTAGAATTTTAAATTAAACTATTCAAATTTTTATACTAATAAATATTTTTTTTACATTAGCATCTAAGTAATCTATTAAAAATAGGCTAACATCTTCTTAAACTAAATTGCTATAAATAATCCTCAATATGGTTATAAATAATAATATTATATTAATACTATATTAAAAACAACAATTATGAAAGATTTTTTTTAATTTTAAGCCATTAATTTTATTGAAATATGTCAGAACATGTTCGGAAGTAATTGGACACAACTACAATTACCTTTAAAACAATAACTAATAAATAAGAACATTAATGTAAATGCGGAGACCTGTTCAAAATTCTTTCTTTTCTTATTTTTATAGAGAGATGGATGAGCTCAGGCTACGTGGTTTTGTTTGATTTGGATCCTTCTGTCTAAATTTTGTTTCTAATTTTATTGAAGAAAATGTTAACAAGCCACCAAAAAATGTTTTTTTTATGTCTACTGTTTACTTTTTTGGGTAGATAGTTAATTTAGTTTCTATTAATTTTCAATTAGTTTCGATTACCAAAATATTGTTTGATTGAACTAATCATGAATTAATTTTGAATTTTTTAGTTAAACTATATTCATTATTATTCACTTTCATTTTTATGTAGTTATTATATTTAATAATTATTGTTCTTAAATCCAAATAATTATGTGTTCAATTAAATATATAAGCATGCTAATTATTATGAAAATTGTGTATCTAAATTAAAATTCTTTTAATGACGATTTATAAAATACAAACATAAGTAATCTTACTAACTTAGTTGGTTGAGTGCTTAAATTTTCAATTTGTTTGTGAGCTTCGATTCCCCACATTCCCAATTCTCAATTCTCAATTTTTAAAAAATAAAAAGACTACAAATTGCATACACAACTACGCAGCCACATGTTTATAACTTTTTATACACAGTTATAATGAAATTAGTGGATAAAACATATTGCATAACATCATTTTATATAGTTATAATGAATTAGTGGACACCTTTAATTACTTATTTTCTTCAGCATAAGATATAGTTCCATGCAAACCATTTATTTTTTCTTTCCAATATGATGTTGTCCTTAATCTATTGGGGCCGAAAACTCTTGGTTGCTTAGTGATATTATCAAAGAGATTTGGAATGAGAAAAAAATTAAGGAACACCATTAAATATTTATATAAAATTTTAAACAACACGTTAAGGAAATTAAATAAAACAATATTTTACTTCATTTACTTTCTTTTTTTAAAATCAATAGGCTATTTACTTCATTTACTGCATCTTTATGTAAGCAATTATTGGAAAATTCTTTCAATATTAACACCATACTACATGTTTATTTATTTCATAAAAATTTATTACAAATATAGATAATGATAGTTTAATCATTTTCATGGCTATTTTAGAAATTCCTTTGCAATTTGTCCATTAGCACCCTTAGGATAAAATCCACCAGGCACGTGTTCATCTCAGAACTGTATACGATCCTTAAAATCTCAGCAGGAGTTCTTTTGTAGGAAAGTGAACCAAAATTAGCTGATAGTACGTTACTTCTAGTCCGATTCTCTGCCCCGAGTGGTGGTTGAATGTATACGCCCTCATCTTTGATCCCACAATTACCTAATTTATTTCATAGTCCTGATATACGAGAGGTGAAATCAGCCACTGTGTATTGATAAGGGGGAACTAATTTTGTTGCACTCTCGTAGAGGTACATCCTGATAACTGCGTCTTGTCCTGATTCAACACCTAATAATCCTGCCAAAAGCTACAAAAGAAAAAAAAGTATTATTTGCAATGAAAAAGGGAAATGAACTAATTTATTAACAGAAAAGAGTCATATTTTTGCCTATACTATTACAAATAAGTTTATTTGTCATTCACTATACTTTTTCAATATATTTGTTATTTTCATCCAACTTTAGAGTCATATTTGTTCAAATCTTTTGCCAGTCTTGAACTTTTGATCGTTGTTTCACTCATGGGCAAACCTTTAGTGTTAGAAGTTAAAATTGTTGAACTTAAATTTTTGCCCACGAGACAATCAAGATCAAAAGTTCAAGATCACCCGCCTCTAAAAAATTTCTCGTAAATCATCCAGGGAGGGGGAGTGGAGGATTAATACATATATATTTACTTACCCTTTTGGTTTCGTAGCCATTGATATTGGGTTTTGTACCAACATAACCAACCAATTCTAACATATGGAATTACATAGCAAGATAACATGTAGCTCAAACTGTCTCTATATGGATCAAATGGAGGTACCAATTTGTGCCCAAAAGCATCGTCAAATATCTTTGCAAAATTTTTAGCACTAAGATCTAACAAAGGTCTTGGAAAAACACCAACTGTCAAGTTAAGTGATCTGCAAACCAACCAAACACACATTACACAACCTAATTATATAAATACTTCGCACGATGGTACATAAAACTTAGCTTTCTTTTGAACATGCAATTTAATATTATGATATGAAATTTGGTTATGCGACGTCAATAGTCCAAATTTTTCAGGATTCCAAATTTCAATTTTTTTTTAAAATGCAAAATTCGAATTTACCTTAGATGACCAACTTCTTGATTAGCAAATTCCATAATAATATTGTTTGTAATTTGATCAAGATTTGCTTTTCTAGCACCAATAGGAGGTGGCCCAGACATAGGCAAATTTGGTGCAACTACATCAAAGCCCAAATCCATAAGAAGCCCATAAAAAGTACTCTGCTTCCAAAAACTCTAAATTCACTGCAAATTGCATTTGTCTATCTCTTCTTTCTTCACTCCCACTCCCTCCTCTGGGTACCCTGATGGACAATAAGTATTTGTTGTATATGAAAATGACATCAAGAAAATTTCATTAAGGACCATGTAAGTGATTAAGAAATGGATAAAGAGTAATTTAAAAGACATAATTAAGCTTAATGTAGAATAAGAAAAGAATGTTTTTTTTTTCCAAGATGTTGTAAATGTGTGCTTTTTGGTTCAATATATATACTAGTAATATCCTCATTCTTCTCTTCTCTCCTAACTCTCGCTAAAAATGTAAAAGTTTAGATACTCAATAAATCATGCTATTAATATTTTCCAACCCCATTTGATGTGGCTTGTGAGATTCATGTATTTGGTGAAAAGAAAAATACTTAATATATTTTTATGAAAATAAGGAAGTTTTTTACTTATTTTGCTATATTCGGTGTTGAAGGATGGAGAAGACACTATACGTTATAGATTCACCAACCTTCACATTTCAAAAAAGTTGATACAATTTCTCTACTTACTAAAGATGATGGCCAAGAAAAATTGCATTGTTACTTTTGTGATTTACAAATTCTTACTTATCAACTTAACTTTTGCTAGTGCTACTAGTAGACAAGCTAAGGGACTAAATAGCTTATATCCAATATGGATTCATCCTCATCCATGGGCCATTCCCGCGGGTGGATTTCATCCTAAGTTTCGTTTCATGGCTATATATTACGTGCATCCACCAACGCAACAAGGAGGAATTAAGAATATTCACTAATGAAAACAAGTGTGGGATCAATATCATATATTTGTTTCTACGTAGTTATTAGTTTCTATCAATTTCCAATCAAGTAATTTCGTTTTGTAGGAATATTGTTTGATTCGACTTATCATGAAATAAATTTAAATTTTTATTTCTATATGAATTCTCTTACGTGACACTTTTCTTTTTAATTTAAAGATAAATTGTATTAGATCTAATTCTACATAAAATTAAAATTTAATATTTAAAATCTATATGAAAAATACTTTTAACTTGTAATTATTCTCACATCAATTCAATTAAAAAAAATATTGTATAATGTGATCAAAGTTTAATTATTTTCTTTAATAGCTATCTAGAAAATGCAAACTTTGGCTATTTCAATAGTGAGCCTAGGAAAGACAAAAGTTTTAAATAGTGAAATATTTTAGAATTTTAAATTAAACTTTTCAAATTTTTATAGTAATAAATATTTTTTTTACGTTAACATCTAAGTTAATCTATTAAAAATAGACTAATATCTTATTAAACTAAATTGCTATAAATAATCCTCAACATTGTTATAAATAATAATAATAATAATAATAATATATTAATATTATAATAAAAACAACAATTATGAAAGAAAAAATAATAATTTTATTTTAAGCCATTAATTTTATTGAGATATGTCATGTTCTTAGGTAAACCAACACAACTAAAATTATCTTTAAAACAGTAATAACTACTAAGATCTGACTTTTGTCCATAATGTAGCATAACATGGAAAAAGATGGTGAGAAAAAAACAAAAATGGAAAAGTATGGTGAAGTAATAGTGGAATAACGGTGGAAACTTACATTTATACTCATATAGTTAATTTAGTTTTTATTAATTTTGAATTAGTTTCAATTAGCAAAATATTGTTGATTGACTAATCATAAAATAACTCTCAATTTTTCTATTTAAATTATATTTATTATTCAATTTCATTTTTATATTGTTATTATATTTAGTTCAAGTAAATATATAAGCTTGCTAACTATTATGGAAATTGTGTATCTAAATTAAAATTCTTATAATAGTGATTTAGAAAATGCAAACATTTGGAATCTTACAAATTCAATTGATTGAGTGCCTAAATTCTCAACTTGTTAACATACGTTTAGAGCTTTTTCATACACAGTTACAATGAAATTAGTGGATAAACATATTGCACAACATCGTTTTATATAGTTATAATGAATTAGTAGACACCTTAATTACTTATATAATTATTTTCTTTATCCTAAAATATAGTATCACAAGATTTATGTTTTCTTTCTAATATGATGTATAATATTAGATATTGTCCTTAATCTATTTGAGCCGAAAACTCTTGATTGCTTAGTGTCTAGTGATATTATAAAAGAGATTTGGAATGAGAAAAAAAAATAAGGAACGCCATTAAAAATTTATATAAAATTTTAAACGACACGCCAATGAAATTAAATAGAACAATATTAGTTAACCTTTTAGTCTGAAACTCAGGTTTTATATTAAGCAATAATTGGGCTTCTCTTGAAAATTAAGACCATGCTACATATTATTTTACTTCATAAAATTTATTACAAATAGATAATGATAATTTAATTATTTTCATGGCTCTTTGAGAAATTCCTTGGCAATTTTTCCATTAGCACCCTTAGGATAAAATCCACCAGGCACATGTTCATCTCCAGAACCGTATACGATCCTTAGAATCTCAGCAGGAGTTCTTTTGTACGAAAGTGAACCAAAATCTGCTGATAATACGTTACTTGTAGTCCGATTCTCTGCTCCGAGTGGTGGTTGAATGTATATGCCTTCATCTTTGATTCCGCAGTTACCTAATTTATTTCTTAGTCCTGATATACGAGACGTGAAATCAGCCACAGTGTATTGGTACGGGGGAACCAATTCCGTTGCTCTCTCGTAGAGGTACATCCTGATAACCGCGTCTTGTCCTGATTCAACACCTAATAATCCTGCCAAAAGCTACAAAAGAAAAAAAAAGTATTATTTGCAATGACGGGTCCCGAATTGGAGAAAAGATAATGGCATGTTGTTTTTCTATTAGTATGTAGTTTTTACTAAGGCTATTTACTATTTCTAGTTTCCCATCCTTGGCAGTTGGCATATAGGAAATTACACCCAATGACTTTTAAAATGAATGGTCTTGAACTTTTGACCCCGTTTGACTCATGAATAGACCTTCAAGATTAAAAGTTAAAAAAGTGTTATATTAAAAGGTTTACCCATAGGACAACCAGGTCAAAAGTTCAAGATCACACACCTCATCCCGTAGGGGATGCGGAGGATTAATACATATATATTTACTTACCCTTTTGGTTTCGTAGCCATTGATATTGGGATTTGTACCAACATAACCAACCAATCCAACATATGGAATTACATAGCAAGATAACATATAGCTCATACTGTCTCTATATGGATCAAATGGAGGTGCCAATTTGTGCCCAAAAGCATCGTCAAATATCTTTGCAAAATTTTTAGCACTGAGATCTAACAAAGGTCTTGGAAAAACACCAACTGTCGAGTTAAGTGACCTGCAAAACAACCAAACACACATTACACAACCTAATTATATATAAATACTTCGCACCATGGTACATAAAACTTAGCTTTCGTTTGAACATGCAATTTAATATCATGATTTGAAATTTGGATATGCGACGTCAATACTTCAAATTATTCAGGATTCCAAATTTCAATTTTTTAAAATGCAAAATTTGAACTCACCTTAGATGACCAACTTCTTGATTAGCAAACTCCATAATAATATTGTTTGTAAGTTGATCAAGATTTGCTTTTCTGGCACCAATAGGAGGTGGCCCAGACATAGGCAAATTTGGTGCAACTACATCAAGCCCAAATCCATAAGAAGCCCATAAAAAGTACTCTGCTTCTAAAAACTCTAAGTTCACTGCAAATTGCATTTTGTCTATATCTTCTTTCTCCACTCCCACTCCCTCCTCTGGGTAACCTGATGGACAATAAGTATTTGTTGTATATGAAAATGACATCAAGAAAATTTCATTAAGGACCATGTAAGTGACTAAGAAATGGATAAAGAGTAATTTAAAAGACATAATTAAGCTTAATGTAGGATAAGAAAATAATGTTTTTTTTTCCCAAGATGTTGTAAATGTGTGCTTTCCGGTTTTATATATATATATATATACTAGTAATAATACTAGTTGGAAGCTTATTCGGGAAACACCAAGAACAAGGTCCTCATTCTTCTCTTCTCTTCTAAATCTCGCTAAAAGTGTGAAAGTTCAGATACTCAATAAATTGTGATATTAATATTTTCCAACCCCATTTGATGTGGCTTGGGAGATTCATGTATTTAACGGAAAGGAAAATACTTAATATTTCTTTAGGCAAATTACAGAAATCACATACTTTTAAGGCAAAATTACAATCTATCCCTTAAAAATTTATAATTATAGAAATCCCTCAAACGGATACAATAATATAAGCGCTGATATATTAATCTGATGCGTGAGATACATTAATCGTTAAGTAAGATACGTTACATTTTATACATGATACACTAATCTGATGCGCGAGATACACTAATCTAATGCGCGAAAATGAGGAATTTTAGAGATTTGTAAAACTTATAGGGGATAATGGTAATAAGTAAACTTAAATGTGGGATTTCTATAATTTTTTCTTTTATGTAATATAAATACATTACATATATATGCGACCATTTTAACTGATTTTTTTTTTTTTTACTTACATATATAATTACATAAGATGCCCTTCCAAAGGGTCAAATGAATGATTAGCGACTTAACTTATTGGGTTCTAAAATATATTAGAAGTCACGCTCAATATCTCAACATCTTCCAAAGGGTCAAATGAATGATTAGCGACTTAACTTACACTTATTTAAGCTAATAATTGTAACATTAATATTGAGACTATATTTAATGGCATATCAAAAGAATATAATAATTTGGTTAGGTTCTTAATAATCATATAGAAAAAGACTGGGAAACTAATCTCACCTTAATCAATAATTGACATGTCTAAAATGGAAAACCACTTTTTTTTTCTTCCATTGTTTGAATAAACCAGTGAATATTAGTGGTCCATTTATCAAGGCTTTCTTTGTATTTGTTGGGTTGGTTAAGCAATCTTGTTTGAGCAGGCCGGAAGTCATAAGGTTGGACGCCAATCCTTAATTCTATTTGTCTCAATTTACATAGTATCGTTCAAATTTGAGTGTTAAATTTTTGGGTAAATTACAGAAATCACATACTTTTAAGGCAAAATTACAATCTATCCCTTAAAAGTTTATAATTACAGAAATCCCTCAAACGGATACAATAATATAAGTGTTGATACATTAATCTGATGCGCAAGATACATTAATCGTTAAGTAAGATACATTACATTTTATACATGATACACTAATTTGATGTACATTTTATACATGATACACAAATTTGATGCGTGAGATACACAAATTTGATGCGCGAGATACACTAATTTGATGCGCGAGATATACTAATCTGATGCGCAAAAATGAGGAATTTTGGAGATTTGTAAAACTTATAGGGGATAATGGTAATAAGTAAACTAAAAGGTGGGATTTCTGTAATTTTTCATATTTCTTTTAGGAAAATAAGGAAGTTTTATACTTATTTTGTTATATTCAGTATGTAAGGGGTGTTGAAGGATGGCGAAGACACAATCAATACAATACAATATATAAGAAGATACGTATACGTTATAGATTCACCAACCTTCACATTTCATCTCAAAAAAGTTGATACAATTTCTTTACTTACTAAAGATGGCCAAGAAAAACTGCATTGCTACTTCCTCATCCATGGCCATTCGTTCATCCTCAAATTCCTCCTCTTGCTGATTCCCATCCTCATCCATGGCCATTCGTTCATCGATCCACCCTTACCCGCGGGTGGATTTCATCCTAAGTTTCGTTATTCATGGCTATATATTCGTGCATCCACGGAGACAACTCAAGAAGGAAGAATTAAGAATGTTCTCTAAAGAAAACAAGTGTTGGATCAATATCTTATTGATTACATATTTGTTTCGAGTTAATTATATATTAATGTCTAAGATTCATTGTTTCATGTAGTTATTATTTTATATCAATTTCCAATTAAGTAGTTCTAGTTTCGTAGGAATGTTGTTTGATTCGACTTATCATGAAATAAAATTTGAATTTTATTTGGCAAAATGGTCTGGCGGACTCTTGTACTTATATGTGTTTGTATTGTAAACCCTTCTATTTTTCCATTTATCATCTGAACCCCTGAACTTATTGAAACACAATATTTTAAACACTATTTCTGTCTTGGCATCCTATGTGGCATCTAATACCAGAGTGCGTGTAAAACACACCTATTAGGAGCGTGAGACCCTTGGAAAAGGGTCTAAAAGTCACATTAGGGCTTTTATAAAGCCATCATCTTCCTATTTGGATCCCACATCATTGTTGAATAGAATTTGAGGTTTTCTTGGCCATTTATTTTTTATCTTTTCCCCCCAAATTTCTTATCTATTGTTTATTGTCATTATAATGCTATCTTTATTATGAAACACACCATGGAAGACATACACTACTCCCAAACATCTTACACTAACATTAAGCATAAAACAAAGCAAAATTTCCAAAAAAATCAATGTAATTGATTAAACCCCAAAATCAACAAAGACACAAATAGAAGACCAAATCTAGATTAAACAACAAATAAAGTTGAAAATAAATTGAAAAACTTACCTAGATAAGTTGAAAATCAAACAAAAACAACAAAAAAACAATTTTCGAGATAGACCCCTGTTTCAGTCATCCACCACTCAAATGACCCTTGTTTCAAATCCAACCAAACACAAATTTACTGCCTTCCTCTCGTCCCCTTAACCTTCTCTGACCAGAACGTCTTCATTCTCACAGCCTCCAACAAGCTTCAACCAGCAACTATAATCGAGAACCACCACCAACAACAAAAATACCAAACCAACTCCGCCAATAAGTCTCGACCTTCCTAAAGCCGCCAGCCCCGAGCTCTTGCGAGATTGTGAACAACTAGAAACAATCAGACCCCCACTCTTCCTTAGGCCACCGATCACCACCAAAACCCCAATTCAATAAAATTCAAAATCAACTCTGAACTCAGACGAGATTGTGAACAATCAGAAGTCATGCCAACATTTTTGACTCCAATGGAAAGAGTAGAAGAAGTTTGAAAAAGGAAAGGTTAAGGAAGATTAGATTAGAAGAAGGGATGAAGTGAAATTGTGATGATGGATACAGTTATAGCAAAAAGAAATAAAAATTGGAAATAAAAGTGTTGCTACATTAATCTAATATAATAAAAGAAAAAATGACGTGGAGTGACTATATATGTGTGTGTCATTTTATAATCATACATGTCATTTTATAATTATTTTTAAATTATGTGTCAGGCGTTTGTGATACACACAAATTGAGTAGTAAAAAATGTGTTTAAAATGTTGTGTTTCGATGGGTTCAGGGGTTCAGATGACAAATGGGCAAGTAGAAGAGTTCACAATACAAATACAAGGGTCCACCAGACCATTTTGCCTTTTTATTTCTATATGAATTGTTTTCCAATTTATCTTACTCACTCCTCTCTTAAGTGACAGTTTTCTTTTAATTTAACTAATGTTTAAAACTAAATTGTATTAGATCTAATTCTACATAAAATTAAAATTTATTATTTAAAATCTATATAAAAAAAAACACCTTTAACTTTTATTCTTATGTCAATATAATTTTTAAAATATTTTACAATGTAATCAAAGTTCAATAGATAGCTATTTTCTTTAATAGCTATCTAGAAAATGCAAACTTAGGCTATTTCAAGAGTGAGCCTAGCAAAGCCAAAAGTTTTTAATAGTGAAACATTTTAGAATTTTAAATTAAATTATTCAAATTTTTATAGTTATAAATAATATTTTTACATTAACATCTAAGGCAATATTATTTTTTTAAAAAAAAAAAAACTAACATCTTATTAAACTAAATTGCTATAAATAATCCTTAATATTGTTTTAAATAATAATATTATATTAAAACAACGATTATGAAAGAAAATAATAATAATTTTATTTTAAGCCATTAATTTTATTGAGATATGTCATGTTCTTGGATAAATAGAAAGTTGGAAATAAATCCATCAGCAAAAACGTTTTCGATGACTGTTGACCGAAAGGGTCCATCGTGGAGACAAGTTCAAATTAGGAAATAGATTTCTTTCCTTATTTTCATAGAGAGCTTAGATGGGATGGGCGTCATTTCGAGTAGATAGTGTCACGATTCGAATCTACACCCTCGACGTGGCGGGCACTTAAGAATCATTGAAGGTCCCCAAGCGAACTCTCATCCTGGCTGACTACAAGCGGAAGACTAACCTAAGCATGCAAAAGTTTAAAACTGAATAAAATTCAATAAACTCAACTTTTCAAAACTTTAACTCAAATGAACAATTTAGAATAAAAATAATATATTCAACTCGCCATAAAATAGGTTACTTAAGTCTTTAAAAAATTTAATAAAATAATGAATAATACAGACTTCTCAACTATACTGACTATCTATGAAGCCTCTAACTGATGAAGATGAAAGTCGGGACAAGACCCACGACATCCTAACTAAACTGAAAAGTAAATGAAATCCCTCGGAAAATAAGGAGGCTCACCATAGCTAACTCGAACTCTCGAATGTATCAACGAATCTCCTGTTGATGATCTTGAATACTTGTGTCTGCATCATGAAAAGATGCAGGCCAAATGGCTCAGTACGTGAAATGTATGAATATGTATGGGGAATTCTAAAACATAAACATAAGCTTGAAACTTGATAAAAAGGAAACATACTTACCTCTTCTCAATCTTACCAACTCAAGGAATACTCAAGGATACTCAAAACTACTGAACTTACTCAACTCAGAAGTACTCAAGGATAAGATACTCAACTTAGAGATTAGATACTCAACTCAAAAATATGATACTCAACTCAATATAAAAAAAAAATACACATGCAATATATGAAAAGCTTTATAAAACAGTAAAACAACTTAGTTCGTTAAAGAAAATGCAATA